GACTCAGGGCGGTGTACAGCCGAGATAAAACATTGCATATAAAATTTAAAAACAGTTTAAAAAACAATTAAATAATTTCGGCCCAAGATTTAAAAACAACCCAATTAAAACCGAATTCAATTAAAACTGAGAGGATGAGATCAAGCCAGCCCGGCTAGATGGAATAGGTGTGTTTTCAGGGCCCGACGAAAAGTTCGGAGGTCTGATATCGTGCGTATCTCAGGGGATAGGTCATTCCAGAGGGCAGGTGCTGCCACAGAGAAGGCTCTCCCCCTGGGGGTCGCCAGCTGGCACTGTCTGGCTGACAGCACCCTGAGGAGGCCCTCTCTGTGCGAGCGAACCGGTCAGTGGGAGGCTATTGGCGGCAGAAGGCGGTTTCGCAGATACCCCGGCCCTAAGCCATGGAGCGCTTTAAAGGTGGTCACCAACACCTTGAAGCGCACCCGGAAGACCACAGGAAGCCAGTTCAGCTCACGCAGGAGAGGTGTCATGTGTGAGCGCCCCGTCGCTCCCATAATCCCCCGCGTGGCCGCATTCTGGACTAGCTGTAGCCTCCGGGTGCACCCCAAGGGGAGCCCGATGTAGAGAGCATTGCAGTAGTCCAGGCGGGAAGTGACGAGTGCTTGAGTGACCGTGCGTAGGGAGTCCCGATCCAGAAAGGGGCGCAACTGGTGTATCAGGCGAACCTGATAAAAAGCCCTCCTGGCCACGGCCGCCATGTGCTCTTCTAAAGACAGCCGTGCATCCAGGAGGACGCCTAAGTTGCGAGCCCTCTCCGTGGGGGCCAGTGATTCGCCCCCAATAGCCAGCGATGGCACCAGCTGGCTATATCGGAACGCCTGAAGCCACAGCCACTCGGTCTTGGAAGGGTTGAGTTGGAGCCTGTTTCTCCCCATCCAGGGCCGCACGGCCTCCAGGCACTGGGACATCACTTCAAGGGCATCGTTGGGGTGGCCTGGAGTGGAGATGTACAGCTGAGTGTCGTCAGTGTACTGATGGAATCTCACCCAGCGGCTTTACATAAATGTTGAACAGAAGGGGCGAGAGGACCAACCCTTGTGGCATCCCACAAGCAAGGCGCCTCGGGGTCGCCCGCTGCCCCCCTGTCAACACAGATTGCGACCGGTCAGAGAGGTAGGAGGAGAACCACCACAGAACGGTGCCCCCCACCCCCAGCCCCTTCAACCGGCACAACATGATACCGTGGTCGATGGTATCAAAAGCCTCTGAGAGATCTAACAGGACCAGGATAGAGGAACAACCCCTATCCCGAGCCCTCCAGAGATCATCCACCAACACGATCAATGCCGTTTCCGTCCTGTGTCCAGGCCGGAAGCCGGACTGGAGCGGGTCTAGATAGACAGCTTCATCCAGGTACTGGGGAAGCTGCCGCGCCACCACACTCTCAACAACCTTTGCAACGAAGCGAAAGTTGGAGACTGGACGATAGGTAGCCAATACATCCGGATCCAGAGAGGGCTTCTTGAGGAGGGGCCTCACCACCGCTTCTTTCAAAGCAGCCGGCAGGACCCTCTCACTCAGAGAAGCGTTAACAATCCTCTGGAGCCAGCCTCGTGTAACTTCCCGGGAAGCCAGTACCAACCAGGAGGGACACGGGTCCAATAAACATGTGGTCGCGTTCAGCCGTCCCAGGATCCTGTCCACGTCCTCGGGAGCCACAGGATCAAACTCCTCCCAGACCTGCCTCAGTCATCCCATCAAGACCTGCCTCAGTCATCCCGTCCGGACTTACCCAGTCAGAGGCCAGGCCTTCCCAAATCTGAGCGATCTTGTCATACAGATACTGCACAAAATCCTCAGCTTGACCCTGCAGTTAATGAAGATGCGGAGAGAAACTAATCTAGGTCAAGATAAAGGTTCAGTTTGACAGTAATTGTACCAAGATTACAGCAAGAGATCCATCCATATAGCTCCTTATTATGTTTGGTTAAAAAGATTTGAAGACACTCATTCCTCCTTGTGTTGCTTCCCTTCACCAAAAATGAGTCTCCCTGTTGGATACATCTCATTTTCTTTCCCTGTTTTCTTCTGCTCATGCTGCATTCCATGACAATAAAACAGCCTCAGCTTCAAGTATCTATACTTTATATAAAGTGGGCATAGATATAATTGTACTGACTACATAAATATTAAGGAAATTGTTTCAGTATTGAATTTAATCCAGGGAGATGGGTGGTTTAGAAATACGAAATAAATATATATGTTACTGAATTCAGAAGGATTTATTCGTAAACTGTATTTAGGATTGAAGCTTTTCAGCATTTGAGGGTTCTAGATGTTCATTTTCTGGACATTAGTGTAATCTATTTGATGTTTCAGATGTTCTACTGATCAGTATACCCCAATTCATATTTGATAATTGCAGTCAGGAGGAGGTTGAATAGTAAAAACTGGAGACATCTGTCAATTTGACCTATATTCTATTCAGTTTATCATTGATTGTATATAATCTCTTACTACTCAGGGCATGTCTGCCCCCCCTTATTGTAACACTTTTCTCTCTGTTAATGTAATTTCTTTTTTGAAAAAGAAATCATGCCTCATGATACACTTTCAAAAGATACCTGATATTAATACCCATTATGTCACTGTGTAAGCAGTGTAAATTGATTGGTGCCTATGGAGTTCTCTTTCCCATCTAATTACTTTTTCAAAGATACCTTTTTCATTTATACAAAGAAAACTGACCTGCTGATTAGTTTCCATTTCTTCTTGTCTTGTCTTTCCACTCTTTCCAGTCTCAACATTTTTTTATATAATATGGTGACCAAAACTGGATGCAATATTCTAAGGCTTTATAAAGTGGTACTAATATTTAATGTGATTTTGATTCTATCTCTCTGTTAATGCAACCTAGGATTAGGTAAATATGACCTGTTGGCTCATATTTAAGTGATTGTCCACTAGGATTCCAAGATACCTCTCACAGTTACTGCTATTGAACCAAGTTTCACTTAATCTGCACTTGTACACTTGGTTTTTCTTGCCTAAGTGTAAAACCTTACTTTTCTCTACGTTGAATTTCATTTTAACAGAAGAATAGAGTTGGAAGGTACCTTGTAGGTCATCTAGTCTAGTTTAATCCCCTGCCCAAGCAGGAGACCCTACACCATTTCTGACAGAATGGCAATCCAGCTTCTTCTTGAAAGCTTCCAGTGATGAAGCTCCCACAACTTCTGAAGGCAATCCATTGATTGATTGTTCTCACACAAAATTTCTCCTTATTTCTAGGTTGAATCTCTCCTTGATCAGTTTCCATCCATTATTCCTTGTCTGGCCTTCAGGTGCTTTGAAAAATAGTTTGACCCCCTCCTCTCTGTAACAGCCCCTCAAATACTGGAACACTGCTATCATGTCTCCCTTGATCCTTCTCTTCGCTAACTAGCCATGCCCAGTTCCTGTAACCGTTCTTCATATGTTTTAGCCTCCAGTCCCCTAATCATCTTTGCTGCCCTTCTCTGCACTCTTTCTAAAGTCTCAACATCTTTTTTATAGTATGGTGACCAAAACTGGATGCAGTATTCTAGGTGTGGTCTTACTAAGGCTTTATAGAGTGGTATTAGCATCTCACTTGAACTTAATTGAATCCCTCTGTTAATGCAATTTAGGATTGCATTAGCTTTTTTGGCTGCCGGTGCACATTGTTGGCTCATATTTAATTGGTTGTCCACTAAGACTCCAAGATCCCTCTCACAGTTACTACTATTAAGCCTGGTTTTTCCCAATCTAGTATCATTTGCAAATTTGATAAGTTCCCCTTCTATTTCCTCATCTAAATAATTTATGAAGATATTGAGAGTATTGGACCTAAGACGGAACATTGTGGTACCCCACTGCTTGTAGACATAATACAGTTAAGGACTACTCATTGAGTACGGTTATAAAATCCATCTGATGGTAATGCTATCTATCCCACTTTTTTTAGCTTACCAAGAAGTAGGTATTTTGTTAGATATGGCCCAGTGTTCAAGTCTGTCGAGATCCATCTGGATTTATCTTTAGTCTATCTTCTGGGGTATTGGCTATTCTTGCCACTTTAGTGTTGTCTGCAAATTTGATGAGCTCCCCTTCTATTCCCTCATCTAAATCATTTATGAAAATGTTGAAGGGTACTGGGCCTAAAACAGAACCTTGGGGTACCTCACTGCTTACTTCCCTCCATGTAGATGTAGTTGCAACCTGCATACATGTTGAGTGAAGTTTGTCAGCCGGTTACAAATCCATCTGATGGTGATGCTATTTATCCCACATTTTTCTAGTTTACCAACAAATTATTTGTGGTCTACTTTGTCAAATGTCAAATGTCTTACTGAAATCCAAGTATGTAATGTCCACTGCATTTCGCTGGTCCACTAATGTAGTCAAAGAATGAAATAAGATTTGTTTGACATAATCTGTTTTTGACAAACCTGTATTGGCTTCTGGTTATAACTTTGCTTGCTTCTAGGCGTTTTCATTAGGTACCCTCTACAGTTTACTTTTTTTTTTTTACATTCCTCCCCACACAACATTGTTCACTCAGAACACAGAGCAAACTATTTAGACTTTTTATTTAAATTCATTGTGATTTAAGATGAGTTGTACTATATATTCATGCACCTTAGTTAATAAACAGGTGACAATTACTCTTGGCATCATCTTACAGTTTTATAAATATTCCCAATGAAAAAAGTGAGTTTTGGCCATCTAGACAGGTTTTGCCATTGATGTCAGTAGGAGAAATAAAAGCATGCTTAAATTTCTGATTAAAATCTCTGTCTTTGAAAAGGTTGGAACTGTGCTAAATTGCAACTACATTTCTTTAAGAAAAAACCTGCATTGAACAGAAGTTATAAATACATTATTCTCAATTAAACATTATTCTCAATTAAAGTTATAAATACATTATTCTCAATTTGTATCATCTCAACTTTTCCTGCCAGATTTGTAATGTGAAGAGATTGCAAATTAGGTTATCATGGCATCTTCCTTTCTTTTAGGTCCTCTTAAACCTGTTGGGCTGCCTTTGCTGGGTGGACTTGCTAGCAGAGCTGTTGAATTCTCCATGATCCCATTCCAATTGCCTCTCCATGGAAGCTCTCAAGTAAATCCCATGAATTGTTAAAATGAATTCATCTGTCATCATCCCAGAGAAGCATGCAGTACTGTGAATGATTGTCAAACTGAGCAAGTCATTGCTGTACTAACTAAACAAAACTGCTTTGAAGAGCTAAAAACTCAAACTCCTTTCTGGAGGTTGCATTTAATTGAAATTGTTGCAATATGAGCTAAGAGTTATTTCTGTTGATGCACAAATTAGTGACAAACTTGCATATAGGATGGTGTCCGTGTTGATGTGAAGGATCTAAGGACTGGTTCCTTGGGACGTGCCTATCAAAATATCTCAAGAATGCTAACCATTCCAATCATATGGTTGCATATTGACTTCCAAATGTTATCCCCACCCCCAGTGAGTAATAGTACAATGGAACTTCTTTTCTCTTTATTTGTGACAAGTTGCATGCATGTTAAGATATCCATCTTAAGATTCAACAAAGAAGGCTAAAAGGGAATCCATTTTGCAGAATATATCAAAGCAAATTCAGAAACCTTGGCATTGCCTTATTTTTCCATTATAATTTGCAGAGTGTCCTAAAAACTGCCCCTCCGGTGGACAGCACAAGTGATAATTTGTCCTTGAGGCCCTGTATTTTATCTGAAATAGGCTTACAGGGATAATGAGTTACCAAGAGCAAGACAGGCATTAGCGTTCTGGGAAAAAAAAAGAAGAGAAAACTAATATAAGACCTAAAGTCTAGAGAAACATTTAGCACAGTTATGGATGAGGTTTCTCCAGCCTAAAGTTCAAGCCAAGAGATTCAATGAGTTCAAATGAACATTATGATAACTTTCTCTTGGTATGTTGCAGCCTATTTCTGCAATAGGCAGTGGCAGCCTGTTTCTATTTTCAGATTTCTTTTGTTACATCAGAGTTCTAGAAAGTATAAGATACAATTGGAAGGTGCTAGATGTTTTTAAAAGTATTTTGTCCCAGGTGTATGGAGGCTGATGTGTACCACTTAAAACTTGTAGGGTTTATCAATGATATTTCTAGTAAGAAATCTGCCTCTACATCCAATTCCTAGTCATATTTTGTACTTTCTCTTGATTAAATGGTATCCTTTGGTGGGTTGCACAGATCTCAAAAGAACTTAGCTTTGGAAAATATGGTTTAGGCACAAGGGAAAAAGGAGTGTCACCACTGTGGAGGATGAAAGCTAACCCTATTTGTCCTCTCTCCAGAGACGGGCCTGCCAGACTGTCATCAGATGGCCAGTCAATTATACAGAGCTTCATTGGTGTTGTACTTTGCAGAGGTCTTACTCTTCTCTCCTGAGATATCTGCACAGACACATCAGAAAGACTAGAGCAAGAGGGGCTAATGCACATACCTATTTCTTGGATAGTGTTTCTTTAGTATAGGAGTAATGCAATGTACTTTGTGTTAACTTTGCTTAAGAAACTGACTTTTTAAGTTCATGGCCAATTTTACAGTATGTAACCATAGGTGGCAAATTATTTCATGTTTATAAGTTCATTTTCAAAGAACATTTTAAATGCCAGACTTTTAAGACTTTGAATAGATTCAATATAAGAGGACCAGATGGATTGTATAGATTTACATTTGGCAAAAATTTAACTGCAAGGCAAGCAATCTCATTGCACTTGTTTCTACAATATATATTCCAGGAGTGATATAAAATATTTGTACCATAAGATAAAAATATGCTAATATCAGCCCTTCAGGGTAAACCAGACTAGGAAACCAGAGTTATGAATACAGTGGTGAAATCCAAATTTTTTTACTATACGGTTCTGTGGGCGTGGTGTGGCTTGGTGGGCATAGCAGGGGAAGGATACTGCAAAATCTCCATTCCTACCCCACTCCAGGGGAAGGATACTGCAAAACCTCCATTCCCACCCCACTCTGGGGCCAGCCAGAGGTGGTATTTGCCAGTTCTCCGAACTACTCAAAATTTCTGCTACCGGTTCTCCAGAACCTGTCAGAACCTGCTGGATTTCACCCTATATGAGTACTAATGCTATTTTTGTTAGAAGGTTGCAGTAACAGAATCTTTTAAGTCTCAATGGACTTTCCCTCTCCCTCCATCTATCTTTTTGAGTAGTAGAGAGGTTTTGTCTGAGACCAAATTGGGTATTTTGCAGAGGTGAAATCCAGCAGGTTCTGACAGGTTCTGGAGAACTGGTAGTGGAAATTTTGAGTAGTTCAGAGAACCGGTAGCAGAAATTTGCCGGAGAACTGGCAAATACCACCTCTGGCTGGTCCCAGAGTGGGGTGGGAATGGAGATTTTGCAATATCCTTCCCCCAAGAGTGGGGGGGGAATGGGGATTTTGCAGTATCCTTCCCCTGGAGTGAGGTGGGAATGGAGATTTTGCAGTATCCTTCCTCTATCATGCCCACCAAGCCATGCCTACAGAACTGATCGTAAAAAAAAATTGGATTTCACCAGTGGTATTTCGGTATACCTAATTTAATTGGATATGTCTAGTTTAATGAAATTCGGTATGTCTAGTTTAATGAAAAGAAGGACTGGGGTGACATGACAGCAGTGTTCTAATATCTAAGAGGCTGCCACAAAGAAGATGAGCCAACCTATTCTCCAAAGCACCTGAAGGCAAGACAAGAAGCATTGCATGGAAACTAAACAAGAGAAGCAACCTAGAACTAAGGAGAAATTTCCTGACAGAGCAATTAATCAGTGGAATGACTTGCCTCCAGAAGTTGTGGATGCTCCAACACTGGAAGTTTTTAAGAAGAGATTGGACAATCATTTGTTTGAAATAGTATAGGGTTTCCTGTTTGAGCAGGGGGTTGGACTAGAAGACCTCCAAGGTCCCTTCCAACACTGTTGTTTTGTTATTCAAATTACATGTGTACTCTAGACTCATATTTCTTTTATCTGACCATTGCCTTGATTGTGGCTCTTCTTCCTGGTCCTCAAGGTTATTCCTACTGTGCATTCCAGTGAAAAAAGACAATTATATTATCTGTCTAAACTAGCAATTCCTTGGTAGTGTTGCACTTGAGTGTATCAGAAAAGTTCAACCCCTCCCTGCCAGGCCAAAATTGGCAAGAGGAGGACAATTTATGCTGGATGGGGAATTCTGGGAGTTCACTTGCAACTTGAAGATGTCCACACATCTTCAAGTTGCAAAGGTTGAGGAACACTGCTCTGTTTTAGTAGTGCATCTTTTCAGGAAAGAAGAGATTAGTTTTAGTTTGCATAATGCAGAAATAGACTTTGAAAGACACTGAATGATTCTAAGGATGTATTTGTTAATTCTGTTTTGAACTGCTTGGCTTTACAAGTTGTCCTTGACTGACGACCACAATTGAGCCCAAAATTTCTGTTGCTAAGCAAGACAGTTGTTAAGTGAGTTTCCTCCATTTTCAACCTTTCATGCCCCAGTTGTTATGTGAAACACTGTAGTTGTTAAGTTACCTAGCTACTATTTTCACTTCTTTTTTAAATTTTATTTATTTTATTCTAAAGAAAGCTAAAACACAAAACTCCCAAACAAGCAAAAGAGACAAAACAGAAAGGCAAACACAAAACTATCAAGACATTAAAAAGTAGATCAAAAATAAAAGAAAAAAACCAATGCATGCACACATATTACCTCCCCCATTGAATAATAATTAATACATTACTATAATATTGATTCCTATCAATAGGAAGTAGGTGAATTTGGCTTCCCCATTGACTTTGCTTCTTTTTTTTTTTTAGTAAACAAGTTTTATTAAAAATTTTCTTTCTTCATACATATTTTATGAATAGAGTGTTGACCGGGTCACATCTTATATATTTTATATATATTAATCTTTATAATCTATTCCAATCTTCCCATTTTTCCCATATTCATCTCTTTCATATAGTTCTTTATCACGAATTAATCATTTTTCACCATATCTTATTTCAACTTCTACCACATTGTTCTTTTTTTTCCCAAGTCCATTTTACATATTTCCAATTTCATCCATAATATTCTTTTTCCATACTTCTTTGTCTTATCTTAATTTCTCTTAATACATAATACATAAACAGTATCACTATCCACCCTTAATTCCTAATCTCTTACAATAACATCAATTAATTATCTTATTTCTCCATTACAGAATATATTTCTCAAAATCCCCATCCCACTTTTTAACATTTCAACTTTGTCTCTTAATTAAAATTGTCTTCAAAATTAAACCAAATTACCATTTCATATTTCATTTCTTATTCTGTTTTACTATAAACAATATACATCATCATATTCAAATCTTACATTAAAACCCTTTAATTTAGTTGACCATCCACAATTAATAACATTAATACAGTTCCCTTAAATCTACTAATATTTATCTTATTTCCCTTCCTCCTTTCCACTAATCTTCCCTTCTTTAACCATTTTCTCTTGGTCTCTCCAAAATTCCACTTCTTAATAATTTTCTTCTTTTTTCCCACTCTCTTAACTTCTTCTTTTTCTTTTTTCTTTTTTTTAATATTTATTATATCTTTTCTTCTGACTCCTTTTTCTCACTTTTAGTTATATTATTCAAATAGTTCTCCCCAAGTTTTCTCCTAATCTCTTTCCACTCTTTCCCTCTTTACCCTTTGATTGATTCTTTTTTGGGAGATGTTCCCCCCATCCACTCTTTTTTTGCCACTGTAAATCCCAATGAAATCATCTAACTGCTTTTTGCATTCAATTCCTTTTCCTTCAATATTATTTTCTTGCTCCTCATTTATGCTCTCTTCTGCCACCTTCTCCCCTATTTCTTGTTCTGTGTGTTCCAGCAAAATTTCTGACTTTTTATTACCCTTTAATGATTCATGCATATTTTTAAACATCTCAATTAATTCCTCATACATCCAAGACTTCATATTGCCAATTGAAGAAAGTGTTAAAACTTTTAAATGTCACATTTAATTAAAATTTAAAATCCATATAGTCTTTTTTTGTTTTCAGATAATGTCCAATTTAAGTATTTATCCAGTCCACTTCAAGTTAAATATTTGTATCTTCCATAGCCATTGAGAATCGAGACCAAGCAATGTAGAAAGACAGATACTCCTTAAAAGTTCTCAGAGTTTCCAAATTATCTTTTAGGTCACAGCTGTACTTTCCCTTCTTCCTTCCAGTAAATATTGCAGTACTCTCTTTCAGCCAGCAGATGTCTCTCTCAAATCCACAATATTTTCAAACCAACTAAATGTCAAAGCTGTCAAAAATATTTAAATCCATGTAAAAAATACTTTTCCTTGGGTTCCTTTATTATTTTTAGTTTCTCCAAATCCAATTATAGATACAAAAACTTTCTTGGGCTTTAGTATTTTAGCCTCCTCTTTGTTCTTCTCCCTCCATAGAATTTCCCAAGTGCCAATTAGCCGCTCATTTCAGCTCCGGGACACCTTTTAATCCAATTCGAAATTATCTTTTACCTGTGAGTTGGCCAATCACTCACCCAGTACCAGCACTCCGTTCAAACACTGCTCCTGCACAAAAACTTAATCTGGTTGCCCCAGCTTCAGAGCAGTCATTTTACAATGGCCGCCACCCCCGCTGCTGGTCCGAAGAGCTGCCTCTGACCTTTCGAGGAACTTGCCTGTTCCTCTTGGTCTTCCGAGATGCCTCTCCTTCTTCACTGTCCCTAGAGGACATTTCCGATCCAAAGACCCCCCCCCCCCAACAGTGGTTTGTCTGGCTGGATTTTCACGGAGCTCATCAGAGCCCCTTTTTTTCCAGCCGCTTTCACTGCAACACTTCCAGTTCTCCCCATTGACTTTGCTTCTCAGGTCACAAAAAGTGATCACACAAGCCTGAAATACTGCAACTGTCATAAATAATCAGTTGTCAAGCGTCCAAATTTTGATCATGTGAACATGGGGATGCTGCAACAGACATAAGTAAGAAAAACGGTCAAGTCACTTTTTTCAATGCTGTTGTAATTTCAAATCGTCACTAAATGAAATGTTGTATGTCAAGGACTACCTGTATCTATCAGAATATAGATACAGGTAGTCTATATATATACACACACATACATACATACATACATACATACATACATACATACATATATATGGTTCTAATATATGTATTAGAACCATTGCAGCAGCTCTGTGGTCATGTGACCAAAATTCACCCTCTTGACAACTGGCATGTATTCATGACTGTTGCAGTGTCCCAGAGTTATATGATCATCTTTTGCAACCTTCTGACAAGCAAATTCAATGGGAAAGCCAGATTCACTTAACAGCCATATTATTAACTTACCAACTGCAGTGATTCACTTAACAATTGTGACCAAAAAGGTCATAAAATGAGGCAAAACAACTGTCTTGCTTAGCAATAGAAATGTTGGGCTCAATTGTGGTTGAAAGTTAATGATTACCTTTAATTTCCAACCCCCGTCTCTTGGCGGGGAGGAGGCATTTCTCCCATGGTTACACAATCCATATCCTATGGGTTACATTGTGTGCTTCATTAGGTTACACTGACCACCAGGAAGCGATATATGACCATTTTCATCCTCCTTGGGAATCATCAGACCTATGGAGCCCAATTATTATAGGGTTCAAACCCTTTATCATATAGTAAATACTATATATCATTTTGATAGTATCTATATATCTCTTCTGGTCACACTGCTAAGCAGCAGAACCTGGATGATAAGAGGGTTTGGAGGCTAAATCATATGATGAATGATTGAGGGAACTAGGTATAACTAGTCTAACTAAGACAAGTACTAGTGGTGACATGATAGCTGTCTTCCAGTATTTGAGGGGCTGCCATAGAAGTGGGTTGACCTATTCTCCAAAGCAGGACAAGAAACAACAG